CCCAGTTCTGGGCACAGAGCTCCTAAAACTCTTGCAATTTCCTTTGTTGGAGAAGTATCTTTCTTAATCCTAACAAGCCTCTTTCAATAGAACCTGAGTTTATGCTAATGACTAACTTAGGTTGGGGCCCTTAGATAGCTTCAGGATGGAACTGGTAACCAAAAAGATAAGTAATTAGATGGTTGGAACCTTCAGCCCCAAACTCTAGGAAGGCAGGGGGCTGGAGATTGAACTCTTATAAAAATTCTGAACAATAAAGAGAGCTTCCAGGTTGGGGAACCCAGAGAAGAGCTGGGAAGGTGATATGCCTGAAGAGGGATCCCCATCTACCTTGTCTTATGCAGCTCTTCTATTTGGCTGTTCTGAGTTGTATCATTTATAATAAACCAACAATAGTAAGTAAAGTGATTTCCTGAGTTCTATGAGTCATTCTAGCAAATCATCATTCCTGGAGTGGGGGGAGAGTATTTGTGGGAACCTCTAAATTTGCCCAGGTTGTACAGAGGTATGGGTAACCTAGGGACTTGATACTTAAAATCAATGTCTGAAATAGGGGTAATTATGTGGGATTTAGCCCTTAACTTATGGAGTCTGCTCTAAGTCTGGGAATTAATATTAAAATTGAATTGAATTGTGGGACATCCATCAACTGAACTATTCTGAAGAACTAACTGGTTGTTTATGTTGAGAAACATTCCAGAATTGGTTTTAGGAGCTGGATTTGCTAGCCCAGTGTTGACACAAAGAAACATGTGGTTTGGAATGAAAAAGGATAGGGGATATGGAAACATTGATTACTGGGGGCCATATGGTCACTCGTGGTATGGAGCAGCAGCTACTAATGGTAAAAATTACCAGCGGAATTTAGAAATGGACCCAACTCCTGAGGAACTGGTTCACTGGATGCATTAGGAAATGCCAACTAATAGGGTAAAAGTGAAATATGTAATCCTTTCTTTATCTATAATAGCTAAAGTGAAAGAAAAAGAGAGCATTGGGTCAGATTTTGACACTAGACCAAACTCAGGTTCCAGTTGCCCTGAGCTTTGGATATTAGATTCAAAGCTGCACCCAAAGGGGAATACTTAGAAATACTTATTGGGAACAATAGAAAAACTCATAAGATCTCTAGACACCAAGAGGATGGTCCAGATAAGAGAGGGGAAAACCAAGAAAGTACTGAAACCAGAGGATATAGTATAAAAGATTATTTTATAAATCAGTATCATTATCTTTCTGAAGAACCCTTATAAAAATGGATTGTGAGAAAAATTAATTTACAGGCAGTATGTTGGGTTTTTGTTTTTGGATTTTGTTTTTCTTTGTGGTGCTGGGGGTTGAACCTAGGTCCTGGTGTGTGCCAAGTATGTGCTTTAACATTGAGCTACAGTCCCTGCTCTGTATTTTCGTTTTTAAATGCTGATGAGTGGAAGAGCATGTTTGGGTTGATGTAGTATCCAGAGCTCACTATGGAACAATCACAGATGGCTACACATAGTCTAGACAATACTTTATTCCTGAGGGAACCACCTGTCTAGCTTTCAATAAAGCTACATCATTCGCATAAACTCAGGTGCTATTGAAAGCCATTGTAAGGTCTATTTACTCCAATAAGTGTGTCCAACTCCCCCTACAAAAGTTAAATGGAACACCCCAGATGAAAAAACTGATATGTTTCACATTTGTGGAACTGGATTTATAATAATTAGGATATTTACTTGCTCAATATGCCCATTTCCCAAGTCATGATAAATGCCAACATTAAGGCGGTATCTAAGAATGTACATATTGGCTATGGTATGGTTAAGTTAGTACAGCCACAGAGAAAATGAGAATGAAGTTTGGAAGGAAAAAGTTTATTATACTCAGTATATGTCATACAGGATGTAACACTAGTGTAGTCAGGAAGAAAAAAGAGGAAAGAAAGCATTAGGCCACAGCTTTTATTGAGGTTTCTGTAGGAGGGCAAGGCAGGACAAGGTAAGCAGCTTAGATAGGTCTGTGTATGTGTGTGTGTATGTGTGTGTGTATGTGTGTGTGTGTGTGTTGCTAGGAATTAAACCTAGGGGTGCTCTATTGCTGAGTTACACGCCCAGTCCTTACATTTTTTTTTTTTAAATTTTGAGGCAGGGTCTCGCTAAATTGCCCAGATTGACCTTGAATTTTTGATCCTACTGCCTCAACCTCCAGAGCACTGGGATTATAGACATGGGCCACCACACTGGCTAGGATAGGCTATTTGAATAATCTTATTAAACTTGGGAGGATAGGGATGGTTTCTAGTTGGCAGGTACCAGAACTTATGATGATTTAGAGCTGGGAAAATATTGGCTTGGTGTGTGAAAGGTAGATAAGGAGATAACTTGGGTTATAGATTCAGGACTGGTTGGTTTGTATATATGAAAAGCATGCTCCTAGATGAGACTTTTACTACATCTAAGAATTGCCTATCCTTGGGAGGAACAGGTCTATTAGGCCCTCAAATTACAAAGCATCAAAAATACAAATAATAAGAAAATAAAGTATAATTGACCTCATGATGAATGCCAAGTAGACAGATATAGATGCTAAGAAAATGCAGTTGGTACAGGGGTACACCCCGGATTACTTTACTGAAAAACTGAGCAACAGTTCAAGAGGCCTTTCTGAATTTTCTAAGTTTCTCCTCATAGGTCTTACAGATACCAATAAGAATGTTAGATTGATTAATAAGAAAATGGGGGAGAGCCAAAGGACTCATCTCATCAAAGTTGATGTTTATTAAGAAGTAAGCTGAGGGCTGGGATTGTGACTCAGTGGTAGAGCACTTGCCTGGCATGAGAGAGGAACTGGGTTCGATTCTCAGCACCACATAAAAATAAATAAATATCCATCAACAACTAACAAAATATTTTAAAAAATAAGTAAGCTGAACTAAGGAAATCTTCATGGGGTGAAAAAAGAGGTAAATAAAAGGGGGAGAATCAAGGGACTCATTTCTAGCAGGGTGTTATTAAGAAATGTGTTAGGGGCTGGGGATGTGGCTCAAGCGGTAGCGCGCTCTCCTGGCATGCGTGCGGCCCGGGTTCGATCCTCAGCACCACATACAAACAAAGATGTTGTGTCCACCGATAACTAAAAAAAATAAGTATTAAAATTCTCTCTCTCTCTCAAAAAGAAAAGAAAAGAAATGTGTTAAATAAAACAGCCATTGATGGTTGAAACAAGCTCTTAACAGAGACTATTTAAAGTTGGGTGGACAAAAAGGAACCCTTGTTGGTCCTCCTGCATTGAAGGGCCCCAAACAAATTCACTTTATTTGCTCCAGTTGGGAAAAAAAGTTGAATCCAGGAAACAAAGATGATAATGAGAAATCTAACCTTAATTGCTTGGGGCAATAGGCAGATTAATCATGACAAATATTGAAAAAGAGCCCTAATAGTTGCCAATGCCTATAATCCCAGAAACTTGGAAGGCTGAGACAAGAGGGTCACAAGTTAAAAGTCAGCCTCAGCAGATCAGTAAGACCCTGTCTCTAAGTAAAAAAACAAAACAAAACAAAACAAAAAAAGAGGTGAGAATGTAGTAAAGCATCCCTGAGTTCAATCCCCAGTACAAAAAAAAAAGCGGGGGAACCCAATTGCACCCTAGGGACCCAAAAGCCCTTTTGCATAAGAGAAGATAAAATGGTCGGGAGGTAGAGAAGTTGTTTCTGGGGCTCCTTGACATGGAAGCTTCATATATTATAGTACGAAAACTTACTGGCAAAGCCCTAACACAGATTTACACTCGATTAGAGAATATAGAAATATGAGAGTTAAGAGGGTTAAGGTGGAGATTTAGATGAAAAAGGAAATTCTCCAAACATCGATGGAAACTGCCACTATATTTGAAGGACAAAAAATAATCTTAAACCCTAAGATACCCATGATGTCTTGGGTGATGTCAGGGAAATGCTCTAATGGGGAGGGCCATGCACAGAAGAGTTCTATCATAAAATGGAAATGTTTTCTTCAGGGTGATGCTACCTGGGAACTGAAGGAAGAAATTCACAAGCATCAAGCCTCTTCTCCCATTTAGAACTATGTGAGAAGCTGTCAGATTCTAGTGACACTCAGTCAGTACCCTATAAAGTAGCCCTTGACTGATCAACAAATTGCTGCTTGGTTTTAGATGGCAGTTCTAAGGAAAAGGGACAACAACATCTTTGGAAGACACTTCTCTGATTGAAGAAGGTGACAGCAAGTCAGTTTGATGGGCTGAATTACCTTTGTTTTCCAAGCAGTCATGGAAGAACTGAACAATATAAGTACCTTTGTTTCTACTGAGTCATGGGTAATGGTCAGTGCCTGGTCATATGGCAAAGCAAAAGGGCAATGGAAAATTGGCTTATTAAGGGAATTCCTGTATGAGGCACAGACTTATGGAAATCACTATGACAGAGAGAAGGAGAAATAATAGCTGAGGGCAAAGAAATGAACAAATGGGTTATGTAGCAAGTTCTCTGAGTTATCCGAGCAATTTATTGAGCCTGGGGGTGTGGCAGTGGGAACCCTCAAGTTTGCAGATAAATCAGACAGAAGTGTAAGTAACACCTGGGAACTCAGTACTTGAAACTGGCATCTAAGTGGGGACAGTCTTGTGGGACTGAGCCCTTAGCCCATAGGGCCTGTGCTAACTCTGGGAGTTAGTACCAGAATTGAATTGAATTGAATTGTTGAACACCCAGTTATTATCTGGAGAATAGAAGAACTGGCTGTTGTGTTGGAAAACACCAAGACAGACTTTCTATAATGAATATGTACTACTTTAAAATGGAAAAGAGTACAATAAACATTTTTTAAATAAAGTTAATATAACTTGCTGATATACTAAATGCAAATACTTGTGAAACAAACAAATCAGAATCACTTCTCACTAAACCCACAAATGTAAGTTTCCCTTGGAGAGCTAATTTCTCCTTCATACTAACCTTTGACCATATTAAAACCATTAGATTTAAGCCGTACACTATGGCTCACCTCCTGTATCTTCATCTTCATTGGTTGGGGCTTCTGCACTGTCCACATTTTCTACTTCATGCGGTTTGGTTAAATTGTAGTCACTCAAAACTGTTGGACTTTCTAAAAAACAAAAAGAGTTCTAAGTATGTGATAAACTTTGAAGAATTTTTATAAATATGTATTAAGTATATGTCATTTCATGTTCAGCTCTACAGAATCCTTTAGTAATAAACAGTATGCCCTCACATATATCTAAGAGGGACCTGTGTGAAAACTTTTCAAGTGGAGAACTACACATGGGGTTCATGGCACCTTTCAATTCATGCAATTATCTTTAACATTTCTTCCACCCAAGTTCAAAATCACTCGTGATTTTTCTGGACAGAATTTTTTTTCTTCATTCGTATCTCATGATATTCAGCAGAATGCCATTGCTATTTATGTCCAACTATCAATATGCAATAATGAGAAATATTGAACTTGGAAACACTGGTATGATCCACTTTGGGAAAAATGCTGTTTTGAACTTTCAATAAATACTGACAAGGCTATAGATATGAACAAGTCATCATGCCTATCCTACCTTCAAGGAACTTATACTTTGCAGATATGGATAAGAGAAGCCTTCAACCATAATGCAAGGCAGACTCAGATACAGGGTGGAAGGATTCAAAGTGCAGTGGGAGTTCATAAAGGAAAGAGAGCAGACATGATGAAAGTATTCTTAAATAAATAGAAAGCTTGGTAAACATCAAGTTTAAGGGAAATAAAATTTTGTTACAATAAATACTGATAATACTAAATGTAAGAGAAAATGAATAATGTATCTGGAATTATTTTCGCATGTAAGCTTAACAAAGAGCTTAACAAAAAGATGATAGCAGAGGTAATGAACTGAGGGCTGGGGTTGTGGCTCTGTGGTAGCCTGGCACACGTGAGGCACTGGGTTCAATCCTCAGCACCAAATAAAAAATAAATAAATACGTCTGGGGTTGTGGCTCAGTGGTTGAATGCTTGCCTTGCACCTGTGAGGAACTGGGTTTGATCTTCAGCACCACATAAAAATAAATAAATAAACAAAATAAAGGTATTGTGACCATCTACAACTAGAAAAAATATTAAATAAATAAATAAATAAAGGTTTTGTGTCCACCTACAACAAAAAATATTTTTAAAAATAAGTAATGAACTGAGAAATTACTTTCTATCAAACTCCTTCCTAGGATTCCATAAAATATTTACTGAATACCTATAATTACAACAAATAATCAAAGACACTGAATCCTGTGGCATTTAAGCTGGGTCAAAATAAGAGAGGTAACTAGAAAATCTACAGAGGCATGATAAAACTCATGGTGCAGGATATGTACTGGAATGTACATGTAAAACAGAAACACATTTCATAAAGTCCATGATGAAGAGGCTCTGAAAATGTCATAATCATGGACTCATTTTTTGATTTATGAATACCTAAGAGTCTAATTTCTGCATATTATAATGTGTAGTCTATAAAAGTGGTTCACTTTTCTCAAGCTTGAAATGAATAACATATAGTAGACTCTTGATCAATTAATTCGAGGTTCATGTTCAATTAAATATGAGATTATAGCTCACAATTATACAAAACACTTAAGTAATACATTTTGTAATATACCATAACTTTTGATTCAAGCAAAGTGAGTTAATTGATGGAGAAATCATAGAATTATTTTTAGGAAATAAATTATTTTAAATGTTTATAGTTTATCCTAGAGAAGGGGGTCAATGAACTATAGCCCAAAGGCCATGTGTGACTCTGGCCTGTTTCTATATGGGTTCAGGAAGCAGGAATGGTTTTTACATTTTTTTTCCACTAATTAAAAAAAATTTTTTTTAGTTGTAGATGGACACAATACCTTTGTTTTATTTATTTATTTTTATGTGGTGCTAAGGATCAAACCTCACACATGCAAGGCAAGTGGTCTACCACTGAGCTACGAACCCAGCCCGGTTTTTATATTTTTAAAGGGTAGTAAAAATACTAAGAAGAATATGGGACAGAGACTACAAGTGGCCTGAAAAGTCTGAATTATTTACAATCCAGCATTTTACAAAAACAAAACAAAACAAAAAAAACTGTTCTACAGTAAAACACAAGTCATTCAAAGTTGTTACCATAATATTCAACAAAAGCTGTCTTTATCAAGATCAACCAGTTGAAAATTTTTAAAAAGGAAAAGAAAAACCCAGTATTCAATATTAGGCAGAGTGCTGTTAGGCCCTATTTTGCAAAATAATTCATATGATCTAAATGAATGAGTTATTTGTTTTATAAGCAAAAGCAACTTTTTATTTTTTGTTTCATTTTGGTATCAGGGATTGAACCCAGGGACACTTAATCATTGAGCCACATCCCCAGCCCTTTTTATTTTTTATTTTGAGGCAGGGTCTTGCCAAGTTCCTTAGGGCCTCACTAAGTTGCTGAGTCTGGCTTTGAACTTGCAAAGTTTTGCCTCAGCCTCTCTAGCCAATGTGCCATTAAGCCAGGCTGACAACAGTATTTTTTTTTAAACATAGCATTTTTACTATAACCAGAATAAGAACACTCCTCTTTCTTTGGTATTATCACCAAAGGTATGTTTTTAGAAAGGAAAGACCCATGTTACCTGAGGGCACAGGCTGCTCCTGAGTGCTTTTCAGTTCCACATTTGGTTGTATATCTGAAAAGAAAGATTATAAATAAATGGATAGGGTACACTGACACAGATTTCAGCATTCCAAATTTAATAAGGATCCCATTTTGAAAACTTAGCGGCAGAATTCCTCTTTTAGAGCAGGACTACACTTCCTCTATGCTCTCCTTAAAAGTGCCTCAAGAAGAAGGAAATGAATTATTGATGCAGCAATGTTATTCTGAGAACTTTCTCCCAGAAGTTACTTATACAAGAACAGTGAGCAAAACACAGGGCCCAATAGAGACAATCTCAGATATCCTATTCTTCCTCCCAATATTTTATTATAAATATTTTCAAACATACAGATAGAAAAGTTAAAATAATTACACAGTGAATATGCATTACCCACTGACTAGATTTTATAATAGCATTATGCTATTTTTTGCTTTTTTACATATTTTTTCCTATCCATCATTTTACTCCATCTATCAGTTCATCTTACTTTTTTGAAGCATTTCGAAAGAAGTGGTAGATTTTGGCATATTTCACATCTAAGACTTTAGCATGTATACTATTAACAACTAGAGTTCCATATTTATTTATAAGATTTTTTTAAGGTAAAAGTTACATAGAGGTGGGTGTGGTGGCACATGCCTGTTATCCCAGTGACTGGGCTAAGGCAGAAGGACCACAAGTTCAAGGCCAACCTCAATAATTTAGCAAGGCCCTAAGTAACTTAGGGAGAACCTGTCTCAAAATAAAGCAATAAAAAGACTGGGAACAGGGCTGGGGATGTGGCTCAAGCGGTAGCGCGCTCGCCTGGCATGCGTGCGGCCCGGGTTCGATCCTCAGCACCACATTTCAAGATGTTATGTTCGCCAATAACTAAAAAATAAACATTAAAAATTCTCTCTCTCTCTCCTCTCTCTTTAAAAAAAAAAAAGACTGAGAATGTGGCTCAGTGGAATGTGACTCTGGGTTCAATACCTGGTATTAAAAAAAATTATAGCAAAGTGCATTTTTTTTTCTTTTTTGGTACCAGGGATTGAACTTAGGGGCATCTGACCACTGAGCCATATCCCCAGCCCTATTTTGCCCTATTTATTTAGAGACAGGTATTTTTTTTTCTTTTTTCTTTTTTTTTTTTTGCTACTGGTGATTGTACTCAAGGGCACTCAAGGGCACCACTAAAGCACATCCCCAGCCTTATTTTGTATTTTATTTAGAGACAGGGTCTCACTGAGTTGCTTAGTGCCTCACCTTTGCTGAGACTGGCTTTGAACTCAGGATCCTTCTGCCTCAGCCTCTCAAGCTGCTGCGATTACAGGCGTGCGCCAACACACCAGGCTCATAGATCTTTTTTATTTTTTAGTTGTAGTTGGACACAATACCTTTATTTTACTTATTTATTTTTATGTGGTGCTGAGGATCGAACCCAGGGTCTGGCACATGCGAAGCAAGCGCTGTACCGCTGAGCCACAACCCCAGCCGAGGCTCATAGGTCTTCAGTATACCATTTAATGATGTTTTTAAAGGCATATTCTTGTGTAATGCAAATCCCAGTCAAGATACAGAACATTATCATCATCCCATGTCCCTTCCTAGTCCCCACCTACATACTCCAGAGACAGCTACTGTGTTTTTTTTTTCATTATAGATTATAGTTTATTCTAAAACTTTTTAAAAATGGGATCAGACAGACACATGGTATAAATTATTTTGTCTGAGGCTTCTTTTACTCAACATAAAGTTTCTGAGATATATCCCTTCTGGGGTGTTTATCAGTACTTCACTCTTTTTATTATTAAGTAGTATTTCACCAAAGAATATGCCAGTTTGTTTATCCATTCTCCTGTTGAGGGACACTTAGACTGTTTCCAGTTTTGGCTACTATGAGTAAAACTATTCTTTTTCTTTTTAAAAACAATATACTCTTAAATTTTAGAATAGTAACAGAAAATCGTGAAGATGGTGCAGAGTTCCCACATACTTCATTCTCAGTTTCCTCTATCATCATATAACATCTTATATTAGTACGGTACAACTAATGAAAAAATACCAAAACATTTTTATTATCTGTATTCAGATTTCCTTAATTGTCCTCTGAAGTTCTTTCCCTGTCTCAGGATCCCACATTACATTAGTCACAGTGTTTTGGGCTCCTGTTGGTTCTCAGACTTTCCTTTTGAGGAATACTGCTCAGGTATTTTGTAGAATGTGCTTCAAATGGGATTTGCTTGTTTTTCTCATGATTAGACTCAGGTATGTTCATCCTTGTCAAAGTCTTTCTGCGGCCATATGCTTTCCTATCTCTTGAGTAAATACTCAGGTATGGAACTACTGGGTCATAGAGCAGGCAAATTTAGTTTTAATAGAAACTGCCAGAACCAGTTTAAATATGGTTGTATCATTAGCAAGAATGATGCGCTGTATCCTTGCCAATATTTGGTTATTATCAGAATTTTAAAATTAGAGTCATTCTGGTAGATGTATATTGGTATTCTATTTTCATCTGAATTTATATTTCCCTGAAGAACCAAAAATATTGAATATCTTTCCATGTGCTTATTTATACATTTTTCTTTTTGAAGTATCTGTTCAAGTCTCTTGCTCATTTTTATTAGTTTGTATTTTCATTATTTTATAGGAGTTCTTTGCATATAACCAATACCAACCCTTTGTCAAATATATGATTTCATACTATTTTCTTCCAGTATATAAATTACTTATTCATTATTTTAATGGTATTTTTTTCCCTAGTGTTGGAAATTAAGTCCAGGGCCTCAGGAATGCTTGGCAAGCACTCTGCTACAACCCTAGTTCCTTTAATAGTATCTTTTGATATTCAAAAGTTTGAAATTTTGAAGTCTAATGTATCCATTTTAAAACAGATATTTCTTCCTGTTTCTTATTTAAGAAAAACTAAAACTTAAAATTAGTTTTTAGTGGTTGTTTGGTATCTTCAATATAAATTATCAGTTTTACATCTTCCTTTCCAATTTTTATATGTTTAATTTCTTTCTAGCTTTATTACACTGGCTAGAATTCTAGAATTCCTAGCAAAATTGAATAGAAGTGCTGAGAGGGGTCATCCTTGCTCGGTTTTCAATTTTATGGAGGAAATGTTCAGTATTTCATCATAAATTATAATTTTAACTGTAAGTTTTGCACAGAGCTCAAGAAGTTCCCATCTATTCTTAATTTGCTAAGGCTTTTTGTTCTGTCTTTATAATGAACAAATATTGAAATCTGTCAAATATTTTTTATGTATCTATTGAAATGATATGTTTTTTTCTGCATCTATTCTGTCAACTTGAATGAATTACAAACCCTGGGATAAATTCCTTAGATTACATCCCTTGTACTTCTGGGACAAACCTCTGATATAGTTTCTGCTTTGTGTATTTCTACATCTAATTATTAGCCTGTTAAGGATTTATTTACAGTCTACTAAGAATTTATGTATTATGTTCATGAATGATTTGGACTTATAATTTTATTTCTTTCTTTAATGTGTTCATTAGATTTTGGTATCAGAATTTTTTATCATTCCCTCCTCCTTTATTTTCTGAAAGAATGGTATGAGATTTATTTCCTCCTTAAATATCTGGTAAAATTCAATTTGTTTAATTGTGATACTATTTGGGCTTGGAGTTTTCTTTATTTTTTCTTTCTTTTTTTTTTTAAACACAGGGTCTTGCAAAATCACCAAGTCTGGCCTTGAGCTTGTAATCCTTCTGATTTCCACCTCCCAAATAGTTGAGGTAACAAGCCTGGACAACCATATCTACCTGGAGTTTTCTTTTGATAATAATTTCAATTTCTTGAATTGATACAAACCAATTCATACTTTTAAATGCCATTTTGCATTAGTTTCAGTAAGTTTTATTTTTCAAAGAATTTGTCTACTTTACCTAAATTGTCAAATTAATTTGTGTAAGATTGTGACATTTCCTTGTTATTCTTTTAATATCTGTAAGATTTGTAGTTGCCTTTTTGATATTGATAATTTGTATTCTCTTTTTCTTTGTTAGTGTAGCTAAAGGTTTATCAAGTTTTTAAAAAATCTCTTCTAAGAAACAATTTCTGAGTCAGTTAATTTTCTCTATTGTTTGTTGGTTTTTTAATGGATTTCTTCTTTTTTTGCCAATATTCATAATATCTTTATATTTAGGAATTACTCATTTTTTATTTTTATCTTTATTATTTTCTTCCTTCTACTTACTTTGGGTTTAATTTACTCTTCCTTTTCCAGCATCTTAAAATGAAACTTTTGTAAACAGTTTTATCCCTGCCCTCTTTTCTAATTATTATTATTATTTCAGCACTAGGGATTGAACCCAGGGTTGCTTTACCACTGAGCTACACCCTGAACCCTTCTTACATTTTATTTTGAGACAGGGTCTCGCTACATTGTTCAGTCTGGTTTCAAACTGCTGATCCTCATGCTTCAGTCTCCTGAGTAGCTGGAATTACAGGTGTGTGCCATGGCACCTTGTAGGAAGGACAACTTTTTTTTAGTTTTCATTTATTTGGAGATTATTTTGCTTTCAGCCTTATAGGAAATTTTTGTTAAATATAGAACCCTAGGTTGGCAGTTTTTTGGGTTTTGCTTTGTTTTTTTGAGTTCTTTAAAGATGTCATTTCACTGAATTCTAACCTCTTTCGTTTCTGAGGAGAAGTCACTGATGTTTTAAGGTGTTTCTTTCTTATTCACAATGCATTCTTTTTTTTTTTCCTGAATGCTTTCAAGATTTCCTCTTTATTTCTGGTCTTCAGCCATTTAACTATAATATTTACAGCTAGATGTATTTTTATTTGCATTTATCCTAGGTTCACTGAACCTGTTAATCTATAAAGTTAAGTTTTTCATCAAATTTGGAAAATTATCAGTCATTAGTTCTTCAAACACTTTTCTGCCCATCCTCTCACTCCTTTCCCTCTATGACATCAATGAATGTAAGTTAGACCTTTTCATATGTTCCCAAAATTCCCTGAGAATGTTCATTCCCCCACCATTTGAATAATTTCTATTATTATAGCTT